TCCCATATCCCTCTCCAGGAAAGCTGGGTCGAGGGTCACAGCAGCCTCGCCAGGGCTGTCGTAGGATTTCAAGATGGGCTGGAGACTGCGATGCCTCCTGTCTGTCATTCCAGGGCATGGAATCAGTGGTGCAGTTTACTTGAAGCCGCACCCTGTGGAGTTCACGGGACAAAACCAAGGTCACGGTAAGATTGTTACTGAATTCATTTCTTACCCGGACCATTGCATAGGCCTTCAATTCCTAGTCTGTCACAAACACAGCTGTCTGAGCACATCATTCCGACTGTAAAACTAAATCTTTAATACCTCCTCATCCCCTGTAGAAAACTGAAGAAAAAGCGCCTTGGTATTGATTTGTTTTACATTGATTTAATTACTAAAGAAGATGGCAAGTTTTCCTCTTTGTCCCATATTAATTTGGCTTTGGTATGTTCCATATAGTAGGTACTCAGAGATATGGAGTGAGTCCTTTGTGAAAGGATTGGCCTGGAAAGGTTCGACGTGGGCCTGCTCAGAGGCAGAGGGATGGACTCACTGACCCCCATGGGCCACTTTCCCTTCCTGGGAGTCCAATCTCTGAATTTTCGAGGGCTCCTTTTTCTTCCTTAACTCAGATTGTCTAAGATACTTAACCAATGGACAGCCTTCCATTGAGAGATTCCCCATCAGCTTTAAAACCTACTTCTCAGGAAACTACTTTCACCATGTCGTGCTGGGGATTTATTGCAATGGCCGCTACGGCTCACTGGGCATGAGCCGAAGGGCTGAGCTGATGGACAAGCCACTGACCTTTCGGACTCTGAGTGACCTCATCTTTGACTTTGAAGACTCCTACAAGAAATACCTGCACACGGTCAAGAAGGTCAAGATTGGGCTGTACGTCTCCCATGAGCCTCATAGCTTCCAACCCATTGAGTGGAAGCAGCTGGTCCTCAACGTCTCAAAGATGTTGAGGGCAGAGATAAGGAAGGAGCTGGAAAAATATGCCAGGGACATGAGAATGAAGGTAGGTGCTGGGGGAGAAATATGAGTGACGCGGGAGGGCTCTCTTCCGTTTTTTCTGTCTCCTCCTCTTGCTCCAGTCCCCTGTTTCCAGGATGGTCAAAACTTTCTTGAGGTCAAAGTCTCTCTTTGCACATACTGATTCAAAAAACAGCTACAATCAATTGAGATGGCACAGTTGAAGCAATGTCTTGGCCTGCAATTCCTTCTATGAGATCAGATCTAAAATGTTAGTCATTTTACAGCGAAGCTCTAGTTTTGTCTTTTTTTTTTTTTTTTTTTTTTTTTTTT